TCGTTGCTTGGCACCGGAGCATGGCCGTGTCTCCATGTCGCATGTCAAACGGCCCGCCTGGGTTGTGCCCCAGGAGGCCGTAGACCCAAAGGACGTAGGATAAACCGCGTGGCCCTCAGTGGGTCCGGCCACGAAATCAGTGCATCTGGGGCCCTGGGGATGAGTTGAACTCGGTAACCTGGAGTTCAAAACCAATACCTTCGTTGGATGAACAAAGTCCACCTATTTCTGTGTTGCCTATGCTAGGCATTCAGGTCAAACAGACAGCAGGAGGGTTTGGTGCGCGTCTTGTCGCTCGGATCTTGGAACCCTCCAAGTCGGCTTACAAGAAATGTGCGATTGATGCGGAATGCACGATTCTGATCCCAAGTCGGTACAAATGGATGAATCCTTGGATGCCTTGACTTGGAGCATCAAGAGTTCTGTTCCCTTAAACTCAAGTAAAACGCACACTATGTATCAGTATGGCATGGATAATTCCAACATATTCCAACTATATATTTATATAGAGTATATAATTACTCATTAACTATACTCAATATATAGTCCCCAATCACCAAAATGTCCACAGCGCTCAGCAGCTAACAGCACTCATGGTCCCACTGAACCCCTTCCACTCACGTTCTTCACGTTGGCTCAGCTCGCGGCTCAGCTCGGTCAACTCGCGGTTGGAGCGGAAGGGCAGGGCCCGCAGCAGTGCGAGGCTCGGGTCCAACTGGAGCTTGTTGCAGGACCACCTTGAAACGCGTCTTTTTTCGCCGGAAACAGCATGGAACACGTGCGGAAGATATGACCTCGAAGATGCTTACAGAGGTTGAAGAACCTTCGATAGCTTGTTGTTGTTCTCACATGTAGCAGGCATTTAAAACTTATCTAATCTAAACACGTTCCAGTTCATATGGCAAAAAAAAACCACTCGGGCTGCCTTGGTGAGTCAGAGTCTTTTTCCGAACTTGTGGGGTCAGAATGAACCAATCTAGCGATGTTGGAAACCCGCAATGAAAGCCCTTGGAATGACGGGAATTGTTCCAAGCTTTGGGCTGTGAATTCAAAAGTAGGGAACACAAACTCCTTGCATCTAGCATGGACCAGCAGTCCCTCGAAATCATCTTTGGGGAACTGGGCACACAACCTCTGCTCGTCAGTGTACAGCTCACTACCTTGCCCATTTATTGCAGGCACAAGAAAAGGCTCGTAGAACAGCAAAAGAACCGCAAAGAACGACTTGTATAATCTTCAATCTTCCCAAACTTCACTTCGAGCAGCGACCTATTCATACTTATTCCTTCCGTAAACAACTGGTACTTCCTGTCTGGCGACGACACGCCGCATTGTATTGCAAACCTCTGATGGGAAGATTATTATCCCCTGTGAAGATCCGTTCTCCTGCATGGCAAGGCGAAGAAGCCATGATGTCGTTGATCTGACAATGAACAAGAAATCAAAACACATCCACATCACCAAGGCAAAAAGACACCAAGGCAAAGCACATCCTACAAACACCAACCCCCAAAAACGACTCACTACCGCCTCGCGCATTAAAACGGCCCAGGCACAAAAGGCTCGCCAACTTGGCTGGTTCGAAGCCTTGTGCAGCACGCCACACAGCACCGTGAAGCTTCATAATGTTTGATGGTTTGTATGGTTGGTTTGTTGATTCTTCATGTCTGATAGTTTGTGGTTGGTGTTATTCCTAGTTCGTCTTCGTTCAAGGGGTTGTTATGCTAGGTCATCCACAACCAAATCCTGTAGCGCAGCTAGCGTCGCCACGTGGGTCAAGCAGGGTAAACGAGATAGTTAGTTATGGCTCCAGAGAGGCAAATGGATGCGGAGACTCATGTCTATTTCCGGGCCTCTGCAAGAACGTCTGTGACCATTAAAAAACGGTGGACATCAAAAGCTGCACCACAAATACAATGATCATTACCAACATTTACCAACAAGGGTTTTGGTCAATGTGACATGATGCGACTTGCTTGCCTCAAGTGCAACATCTTCCAATGCAGTCCAGGATGGTGCTATGATGGATTCATGTTTTGAGAAGCTCATCTGAATTGGTCATATCACACCTGTTCCACCGAGTCCAGCTGAGCTTCGCTGGAAGCGCAATGCGCTTCACATTGGTGGGAGAACTGAGGGTGGCACCGACCTAGGGATGAATTCAAACATCTTCAAATGCCCAAGAGGTCGACGCCAAGGAGCTATCCACTTGCGCTTCCTTGGGTGCGAGAAAAGTTGTGGAGTTGTGGAGCTGTTGGGGAACGCGATGTCTTCGACGGCTTTGGAGCAACTCAGGACTGATGTGTTCTTGTGTTCCAAAAGCTTGCTTGGGCAAACATTTTCAGTAATATGAGGGTTGACTGTTGACCAAATGAAAAGAAAACAACTACGTGCTCCGCTACTGCTACATGCTACGTGCTACGTCTTGTGCTGACCTGCCACGACTTCGGTGCGCATTGGGTGCCCAAGTGGCGGCCTGCTGTAGCAAGGGCCTCAAGACCTCGCCCCGAGACACGTTCAGCTTCGCAAAGGCCCACAGCAAGTTCGCGATATCCACCTCCGAATCTGTCCCGATTGGTGGCGAAGGGGGCGCTCAGATTCGCGGGGCGCTCCATCGACGACGCCCAAAAAAGGCGGAGATGGAGGTCACTAGACGCCAGGAGGTTCTTGGGCCGATCCAACAACTTTCAGGATCGATCCAGGAATCCAGGGATCCAAGGACGGTCTGGTTACCCGATGATTCGGGAGGGTGAGCGAACACCGCTGCATCGCCGAAGAGTTCCATGATTCATCTTCTAAACGAGATTCTATATGGGATCTTCTGAGAAACTCTGAGAATTCCCCCGCACTCCCTAAATTCATCATGGTTACCTGGTTGGCAGGGCCATTTTGCGAATACCAAACGGAGATGACAATGTACTAGAAGCTATCGATTCTCCCCCGGCCATGTCGTCCCCACCAGCACAAAGCTCTCCACCATCTTCAGGGATCGGGCGATGACCTGGGTGGCGACCAGGTCATAATGGACAGACCATGTCTTTAAAGCATGGGACATGTGGAAAATGCGTAGCAAACGACTCAGAACCCCCCCAACTGAGGTTTTCCCAGGACGATGACCGATCGACAACACGAAATTTTGCGGTGAAAGATGTCGATCTGCCGTCCAGTCTTGTGGGGACATGGCAACCTTGAGGACTACCTTGGGGTGTTTTCTGGTGCTTCTATGCTGGTTGACCTGTGAGGTACTTGCGAGGAGACACTGGCAGGCTTGATGAGCATCTGGTAACTGGTAGCACGGTTGCTCCGGCAACACTTCTTGCGCTGCACGGCAGCACTTCTGCTGCGGCCAAGCACTCACTTGCGCACCCCCAAATAACCTCACTTGCGCACTTCACCTCACTTGCGCACTTAGCACTCACTTGCGCACTTTCAGGGGGAAAGTGAAGGTGAAAGGACATTCAACCACCAACAATCTATTGGGTGGGGGGGTAGGAGAAAATGAAAAGATACTCAACCACCAAACAATGTAAGTTCTTGCACCTGACATGTACTTAGGTGAGGTTACTGAGGCAGGAGAGTCACTTGCGCATCGCAAAATGGGTCACTTGCGCATCGGGGGTCACTTGCGCATCGGAGAGTCACTTACGCATCGACTTCATCGACTCAGCGGGTCACTTGCGCATCGATGGGAAATGATGGTGAGATGTGGGAATTGTTAATGATCTCAATTTGGCCCACGCGGCCACATCATCACATCTTACATCCGGGCGGGGTGGGGGGGTGGGGTGGGTGGGGATCTAATGGAATGATTGGCCCACGCGGCCACATCATCACATGATTTGGTGCTTGTTTTCAATTCACTGATTCGACCTGTGACGCTTCAGCAATCCGCAGTTTGAAACTCTCTACATCTGGGAGCGCTCATTAGGACAGGGCATCGGGCTTGGGTGTTCCTTCCAATCATTCGAACCACTAACATACCTTACTTATGTTTACCAGGGATCCTTTTGTCACTCCGCAGCATCGGTTGGGGCATCGGTTCGGCATCAGCCTATACACGGTGGTGGTGCTGGTCCTGGTAGTAATAGTAGTAGTAGTAGTAGCAGTAGTAGTACTAGTAGTAGTAGTACTAGTAGTAGTAGCAGTAGCAGTAGCAGTAGCAGGAGCAGCAGCAGCAGCAGCAGGAGCAGTAGCAGTAGCAGTAGCAGTAGCAGTAGTAGTAGTAGTAGTAGTAGCATTCGTCATCGTCATCGTACAAGTGCACAAGCGAGGTAAATTTCAAGTGCACAAGCGAGTGCTCGCCCTCTGCTGCTCCCTATTCTCCTCGATGAACCCATTTTCGGTCGAAAGACCTAACCAACAATGTCTAACAATCAAACTTTGGTCAAACACACCAGGTGGCCATCAACCCATGATAGCACACCTCAGGCTTGTTCCACCATGAACTGCAAACGGTAAAACATGGTAAAACCATCTTGGACCATCTTGCAAAAACCGGACCAACCCGGTCTTCCGACTCCCAACGTTTCAACACCCGCCTGATACCTCGGACCTCAGTCGGTGCCCAAGTCGCGGCGTCCAGAAACGCCTCGCCCGGATGGAAGTTCAGCCTGGCGCCCGCTGCAGGCGACGAATCGTGCTGCGACGTCCAACGACGAAAGTGATGGCCGAGCGGAGCGCGCTGTTCGTTCTTGGAATGTGAAACTTCGAGCGGCCTATTCATAAAGCGGATTCAGACTCTTGTATTAGGAATGGTTCAGTTTACTGATGAGGAATCCCAAGTGAGGGTTGGCGGCCAAAATTCTGGATGGCGTAAACCCACAACCAGTATGCAAGTTTATAGTTTGCAATATGCCACAATCGTGGGTGATCCTTCTTCCACTCTTCATCCTCTCTGCGAATCGAGTGGAGCAGCGCTTTCTCTGCACCGTTTCGAGTGGGCAATAGTGAATTTGGTAAGGGGCACAGTGTTGCCTATTCGAACACCTATCTGCGCTGAACAACAATGATCAGTGATCAACCAGCATGGAAGTGAGAAACATCTCTAGTTCAGTGGAACAGTTGGGCGAAACTCTCGAAAACCAACAGGTTTCATGCGCCAAAACCCACGCCCCAACGGCATGGGACACCTCTACTCCCCGCAGTTTTGGGCAGTTCTTTTTGTGCCTGGCAAAAGACCAAAGGAGATTGGCCACATCCATTGGCTCAAACTCCTCCAAGGTACTGGCACAGGTCTTCACTAAGGCCTGCAAAAAATGCGAAAAAGCGGCTTTGGGTTGGTGATGAGACCGGTCATCGGTCATAAGACTCGCAAACTGAGGGGTTGGGACTGGTTCGGGTAGGTGGAAATACCAGATTGTGACCGATTGTGACATATATTTCACCAGATCGATCGCTTGGCAACTCTACTGCTGACACTACCATTTTTTTCCGTGAAGAACGCACCTTTGATCATCGCGAACGAACGGCGAATAATCATACAGAAGTCTTTCAAAACATTGAATCCCTTGATCGAAACACCTAATTTAGTGTGATGCACTTACCACCTATAGCTGAACCCAGAGGCCCAGGGGTCAAACAATCCTGCTGAGGATCTGTGTGAGTATCCATCTGAAATGGACATTAACGTAAAGGGATGCCGACTGACATCAAACAAGCACACTTGGACTGTATATCCACCTGAAGAAATGACAGGTTGATGCAATATCCTGATCCTGCGGCATGAATATGCACTGAACTCATGAAAGTCTCAATCCCTTCCATCCTTTTGACCGACAAATTAGACTTGAAAAACGATGAGACACGCTACTGGTACTGTTTGGCATCATCACAGCAAATTGAACATCTGCAAATGCTTCTGATCTGTGCTGCAGAATCGTTTTTTATACCCGCCAGCCAAGCTGTCCTTTCTCGGCCGAGTCCAGGCCTCTAGAAACTTGGGTCCGGGCTGGTACCCGAAACGCGCACAGGCCCAAAGGCTGTTGACCAGGTCCTGAAACGACGATGGAGCAACTTTCTCCAGCAGGTCTTAGGCGGAAAGCCAAAGGGTCCTGGCTTACAGCATCTCAAACATCACCTTCTGAGAGGGCTATGAATGACCAGGGCATGAACACATTCCCAGTTGACCAACCTTTAACAAGAGTCCTCTGGCTTGCCCAAACATCACCACAAATCCTCACATGACTCATTTATAATATACTACAAAAGCAAAACAAACCAACAAATTCAATATGAAACATGCCCAAATCAACAAACTAATCTGCGAATTGGCTCTGCCCAATGGTTCCAAGGATGTGAGACGACACTGTTGACAAAATAGCACGACATACAAAACACTTTCGAGCTTCGCGATACGGTGACCGTGGGCTGCATGAGATGAGGAGAAGTGGAAGTTCACTATGAAAGGCAAAGGTAGATCTTGTTGCAATTCAATCTGCAAACTCCGGATGACTTACATTGCTTCTTAGACATGATTGGTTCAACTTGGATGTCAGCAGTACATCCATGGTTGAAACCTGCCACACATGCTGTAGAATTGATAGAAGCGACCAAAGCAACTCCATGCAAGTTGATGAACCCAGGACTCTAATTTGATGCGCACTCTGTGCTGCAGGCCGTGAACACCATGCAGCCATAATATAGTGGATGACTGTCAGTCAGGTTTTTCCAAAACACCGTCTTGCATAATCCTGCATTTCCTGGTTCGTGAGAGTGGGAATAAAGGTGGAATCAGTGAAACCATTTGCCGCGCAAGTGCTTTTCACAAGAACTTCCCTCAGGAACGGCTCCGTCCATGGCTCTACCCCCGTCGAAGCCCGGCTCGACTCAGCTCCTGTGGCTTGGACTGTTGAAGCTGAGGCAGCGAAGCATCAATGACCTCGATCGATACAACCGGTGACGTCGATGAGCCACTTGTTGGTTTTCTCGTCTCACCGGGTCCCCCCAAAAGAAAAAAGAACATGGGCTCACTGGTGCAGGAGCCGGCAAATAGAATCACGAAAAGCCAACCAAACGGTTGGAAGATGGTAGACTGTAGAACTCCCTAACAGGAACCGAATGAATGACGGCGGACCGGAAGGCTCCTGATCAGAATGTGCGATTGGGTCAACTGATGTCAACTGTCAACATCTTGGGAGTGCCTTCCACATGCCGGGGGGCAAAACGGCCGTATCTTGGACGGAATCAAAGAGTATCTCAGAAAATACTTATTTCATTGCAATGACATATCTTTTTTAGAATATCGGAATTTTGGCTGTCTGCATTCATGTTGACGTCGCAGCTGCATTCGATCTTTGGTAAACACTGGCCAAATGAGCCAGGAGATCATTGAGGACGCATCTCTAGTTTGAACATCCTTGAACGCATGGATACGCATGGTCATTCGTAATGCAAACTAAGGTATGATACAAGCCAGCTATAAGGTTAGAGATCACCATTGACCTTGTAGGCATGCATGCCATACAGTTCACCACGGGGGGGTTTTCCCGAAACGCAAGCGTTAGCGACTTGCCAAACTCATGTGACCAAAGGACGCTACACGCATTTAACGTGAAAAAAGGATAAATCTGTTTGAACTACCCTCTTGGAAAATCAAACAAAAACCACAACTGTTTGATACTGTTTGCATGCACTTCACCTCACAATCAAATGTCCTAAGCACAAACAGACCACAACACAACGGACACTCCAAAAAGCTGAAACTGCTTGACCCGCCGAAACCTGCAGGTCCGGTCCGGTCGCTCCGACCATCCAAGGAACGGAGCGCAAGAAGGCCTCGCCCGGGTCGTATTCCACCTGGAGATGAGGCGTGGCGCCAGGCGGTCGGATCGCATTGCGATCGTATGCTTCTGCAGAGAACCGCAAAGGCTTTAATTACATATCATCGACCACGGCTATGGTGACTATGGCTGTGGTACTACCTGTGGTACCAAGCTACAACAGACCCGGCATGGGAACGACTGTCCTGCCACAAGTTCAAATCTGTCTGTCAGCTTCTAGTGCAACACAAAACTCCGCCGAGGTCTTATTACAAATATCACTACTTATATAGGTCAGACATCACTTCATTTTACCACATTGCCAAGTGCCCCCAAAAAACACAAGTCTTTTGTCCAGAGGCCCAAAACTCACAAAGAATTTTAAGAACATGCCTGAGTTGGACATGTTAAGGTGATAAACCGTGATCGGAAGACCAGTCCGTGCCAACTGCCTGCCTCCTGGGCCAGCCTGCTTTTACAATATTTCATCTCGCGCCACCCATCACTACCCTGTGAGATCCTGTAAGCGAAAAGACACGTCTCCTCGTAGTGGCAGGGAGTACTGAGTTTAGAGCCCTGAACCACAGCTAAATCTCGTAAATCAGAGCCACATGGCTTCTTACCGAAGATCACTGAAGGTTCGTTTCGGAAGGTTAGCCGCTAGTGTCTCAACATGGCCTACTGGCTCCTCATCGGAATCCATGGGGGCGGTACAAATGCATCGTCCAAACAAAGCCATCGTTATTTGGCCATGCTCTTAACCCCTCGTCTCGTTCTCGCGGGCACTTGGGGCATCGCACCCGAGCCAAGGACCACAGCACGGTGGCCAAAGCTTGCGACCTGGCAGCGAGATGCGAGCGACACTGCTGAGCTCGCGGGACGAGCGGGTGGTCGGGTCCGTGCCTGAAGGTCGTGACGAGCTCACTGGTCCTCTGCCTCAGGAAGGCCCGGGATGAAGACCAATGACCAAGCCCCTGGATCTTGCGCAACTGTCTTTCTTAAGTGTTGAATGATTCAGCTGACATATTTACCATTGTCAGCGTCAAATCGCACCAACAATGTGTTTTTGTCTTTACCTGAGCATGTGCACATCCTGATCTGATAGTTTGATCTGGACGGACGTCCATACAGGTACTGTATTTCCGGAGTTAGATTGTCCACTAGTAGTTGGATTCATGCTGACTGAGCATTGTAGGTGTAAGCCGAGGGGCGGAGGTGTCCAATTGGTATGTGCGTCACGTGGGCTCAACAAGTCACCATGTCCTAGTCTTCAAATGTACGTCCTCTTTGTTGTCCTCTGATCCTGGAATCATGCAAAGAACGTCCCGGAGAAAAAAGGCAAACATCTCATCAAAAGAAATGTCAATAAATAGACGAAGTAAAATTATCAAAGTAAGAGACACTGTAATACTACTGCAGTATTGCTTTGGTACTGATAGGTGTATCTCAAATTCTGCAAGCCTTTGAAAAGCCTCGTGGACACCTCCAACCTCAACGGCTCCCCACGTAGCCCTCCTCCCCGTGTGGCTGTCCGTGCGGCAGAAGCTTCCGGAAGCCAGGATCTTCACCTGGGAGAATCGGCGGGCGACGGGCGAATCGGAGGGTCTTCCGACTTGAAGTAGATATGATAAGAGGTGAGATATGAGATGTTAAGCTCTTCCCCCAATCGTTTCAGGGTTTCAGGGCTTGTTTTCAAAACAATACAGCAAGATCATGTAAGATCGATTTCCTTCGAGCATGTGCTCGACTGTGTTTCTAAAGGGGAAGACGTTGCTTTTTGGATCGAACTTGGTAATGTGGTAGATTGATAACAATCAGCACCATCGCTCTGGTTGGTTGAGCTTTTTGTTAGGACCATGTGCGGTCAGTGAATACTGGTGAATACTGACAGTGAGTGATAGACAATCAAATCTTTGTTAGGCTCCAACTCATGAAAACTTAATTTCTTGGTCCGCTCGACAACATTTGGTTCAGCTTTCTTGAGGGACTGCCTTTCAGGTCGTAAGCAAGATTCTCTCAAGTTGACAGGGAGTGAAGTCCTTAGCAGCCATAGCAGGTGAAATAAGAAAGGAACATGCTCTCAAAGCCAAAGTGTTGGTTCCTTTTGGACCTCATTGCGGTAGAGGAGCCGAATGGAACATGTTGTCCAGACAGTCCGGACAACATTTACCTCTCCAGGCAAACACTTGATCTGTCCCTCAGAGATGTGTGGCGTCCCACAATGAGCAAACGTTGGCCTTAAAGAGAAACCAACTAGCTCGTTCAGTCTATGCTCCCTTGTCGCGTGGTCTAACTGGAGGGTGTCCACTTTTCAAGATGCACAAAATCGAGTGCTGCCCAAGGCAAATGATTCATGTTGATCACCTGAACCTTGATATGCGCAAGTCTGAGAGTCAGTCATTCATGATCCCTCATCACTAAGGATGTTGTTGGATGTGCTGTGGAACAAACTGATCCCGAGAAGAGTATCCACAGAACCCAATTGCTTTTCTGTTTCCTCGGGTCTTCTCCAGATTAATAATCAGCCCGAGAAGGTATCCCCTATGATTCACCGATTCACTACCGTTTGAGATGTGTTCAAGGCTGTATCCGGAACGGTTTGGAAGAACCCAGGAGTTAGATTGGGTAAACAAACTGATATATTGAACATATTAATACCTTACCGTTCAAAAGCCTGATGAATAGAGAATCTAGACACCAATCTAGAGAGGGCGGGTTCCTTTCCGTTCAATCAAGCAGCTTAATGCCGCTGTGCCGTTGGACTGTGCCAGGCGTGTGAGCGCAGCGCGCACGTGATACCTGAGAGGTTTGGTGAAAGGTCCCGAAACAAAACGAACCGATGTGCTAATGTTCCATGATAGGATTTAACATGATAGAGCTCCTGTATATAGCCCTGCCTCCATCATGCTTGACTTATCACGTTTGCTTTTACGTTTCTATGTTGTATATTGTACTACCTCTTTCTGATGGGCATGGTGTCCATGTGCATGAAACATCTTGGACCTCCAGGTGACAGGCGCAATGCTTGGAGAGAGCAATTTCAGGAAGGCCTACACTTCTTAAACGTGCATATAGCACTCGACCAGGATCTTCTTTCGGACACAATACGTTCAATCTCTATTGCTTGGCACATGTTGAACAAAGGAAAACCAATTCCTCTTGTAAGACCTGCTACACATGATCGATGATGGGTTCCACTTGTTAATTATACAAGCTAAACAACTATATAGTAGCACTCTCCATTCAATTGAGATGCTGTATAGTAGGCTTGAACATAGAAACCTTTCAGGGGGGTGAAAACTTTCCTGGACCAAGGTTCTTCGCCAAAGTTCTGATAGTTTTACAAAACAAAAGCAACAACAACAAAAACAACAACAACAACATAGATTTGGCGTTCCAAATCATGCTAGCGTAATCCTTTTGTTCAAGCCATGTGGCCGAACTGGCTGGAAACAACATCTCTGTGCTACCAAGTTGCTCATTGAGAACATTCTCGTACTGTTCTACCTTACTCGGAATTGACACTTGGGACATGGCAGACCTCTTGGCAAACTCAGTCTCGAAGCGATAAATATGATACACAGATACATAGCGGACCGTCTATCTCAAGCATGATGGCAAAATTATCGAAAACAAATCAAAGCACTCTGGATTGGCTCCACAAGTATGGCCTCACTGGGATGCTGCAAATAAATGTGTTTCGATTGACAGTGGGCCATCTGATATCTGTGATGATTGAGATTATTTAACCCTGGATGGAGAAAGTCCCATGTTCCAATTGGCACAAACGCCATGGCCGAAAACGACCAAGACCCACGCATGGTCGCTGCGGTCATAAAGCTGATACGAGATGAATCGACATGATAACATCCCAAGCCACCATAAAAAGCACGTGGTTGGAGGTCTCCGCCGCTTTCAGTCTCCCTGTCAACTGCTGCGGCGTGATCGGAGCTGCACCCTCACCGCGGTTCGCCCCAGAGCCGGAGCTGCGAAGGCGAGGGCCCACAGAGAAGGCCTCGGTGTTGTTAATTCTTTGTTTTTTAGAGCACCTCTGTGAACGATCCACTTGAAAAAACTATATATATAGTATATTTATTTATGATTACTGGTTTCTTGTAGATCTTACAAAATCAGCCGTCTGTAAGACCTACCACAATCATAGAAATTGAACATGTCATGTGTGACAGGATAAAACCTAAGAGAATCCCCTTTCTTGGTGGGTACAAGCATGTGCAGTAAGGATTGACCAGTACCAACTATCCTGGATCCAAATGACACAGTGGATCCGGTGAATGTCCACGTAGCAATATAAGAAGCTACTAGTAACAAGTGCATCGCTTCTAGTAACAAGTGCCTTACTAGTAGTAACAAGAAGCCATTAAACACAAGAAGCTATTTGAAGGTTTAAACCACCATCGCCGATCGCCCTCAACTTGCCCCAAAAGGGAGAGAGTCGTCCGGCTTGACAGCTTGGCGGGGGGGGTACTCCAAAGACCGTGGTATCACGGATCATTGCTTTTTTTGGGCCTGACTACCGCAGTTGCTGAGCTGGTTCTCACCTGTTTCGATTTGAAGACCTCCGAAGCAGCAGGATGGGTAGCAAGTTCCTGCTCCCCAAAAGTCTGACAGTGTACTGTAAGTGATGGATGTCTCCAACATCATGCTAAACTAATCTAAACTAAACTTTGTGACCCTCCCAGCAGAGAAAATGGTTCTAAATTGTCTTCCCAAGCCTTCTGACAAATCATTTGATGCGGCTATGTTCGTTTGGGGGAGTGTAACTTTGACATCTCAAGACTCGACTCCAAACGAGTCACTTGAAATCTTGAGTGACATGTCTCAGGCTTTCTCCATGTCGACCTTGCCCAAGAGTCTTACAATGGCCACAAACCGGCAAATCAACGTTAGTGTCCGATTGTATAGCAAAGGACAATACAGGACACACTATTGTGCTATGTTCGGCAGCCATCTCGGTGCGACATGGAGATTGACCGTCTGAACTTTTGGACAAAGACCAAGGGGAATTCGTCTTTGTTTAGTAACCGTTCCTTGTTAGCTGTGTTTGATGAGATACCCTGAGTCAACCCTTCAATTCACCCTAACACATATACATAGATTATATACAAGTTGACAAGTATACTTTAAACAATACTAAAACATATACAAAACACCAGTGCCTCGGCTGTGAGTCAAGACTGCACCCCAACCAACCATGGTGATTCTCAACCGATCAAACAGTCGACAAGCTGGTGATGTGAACGGCAAGGGCTCGTCGAGGCGAGGCGAACTCAGCAAGGCTGCTGTGGCAAATCCAATTCTCTGGAAACTCCCAACGCCCGTGTCGTTTCCACCCGTCAACTGAAAACATCTAACAAACACATATATAATATATATTGTATATATATATATAAACAATTCACAGAAACAAAATGAAAGAACGTACAAACATCATCAAACATCCAACGGCCTCCCTTCAGCGCTTCAATCCAGGATGCCAGCCATCCAGAGCTAAGCACTAAGCACCAAATGATCCCTCCGGATCGGTGATGAACGGCCCATCGCCGCATGAGGCGTCGAGGTCCCGCGGCGAACGCCCACGTGGAAGCGCGGTGGAAGGTTCCACGACCCGCGTGGGATGAGACCCAAGGATTCCGCACGTGCGATAGAGTGCTCTGGTTTTTGTGTTTCCTTTTTTCTTCTGACCATTCCACACACTGAATGCCTTTGAGGTTCATACAAGAAGCATTGGATGGCGCAAGCCTGTTCAAGCCTGTTCTTGGCAACTGGTTGAACCCTACCCTGCGGTAACTAGGGAACTTTTCTTGAACACGTCTCCATGTTCCTTGTCAAGTCTTTGCCGGAATGGTGGAAATGACAATGGAGATGAGGCATTAAGGCAATCTTCATTACCGCCAGCTTCAATGTTTCGACTGCTTGTTCTGGACATGATGCTGGTGCCTAAGAAGTCTGAGATGCGCAGGACCCGTATTGCCACAAAGTGATGTGACTGAGAGTTTGTTGCACGGAGGCTTCCCTAAAACAATAGTTTCAATAGTGCTCCACTCACATGTGCCGAAGATCCTCCCTGAAAGCAACATAGAAACTGGCAGAACATCCAAATGGCAATGGATGATGCATCTGCCCAGCCACTTCTATTTCCTGCCGTTCATGTTTGTTGAAGCCAAGTGCACAAACCAGCCACCATATGCAGTAAAATAAGTAATGGACAAAATAGGACAAAATAAGGGAGATACCATCCGAAACAGGCTCAAGATGGCTCAAGGAATGAGGGGATCGGATGTGGACCCACTCCCTGAAATAATCCCGGAAGTGTTAAACCCTTAGATGACCCTTTTCCTCTACGAAGCACAGTGCTTCAGAAATGACACGTGAACCGATGCGAAGAAGCCGGACGCTCCGCCCGACCGAGCTAACGGATGTTTGTCGACCACGGTGAATGACTGGAACCTCTAAAAGTGGTTGAACTGGGAAGATGATGTTTGAAGCGGTATTTGACCTAAACATGACATCACAGTTTGATGTTCGGTCTCACAAACAGTAGATTATGCCCACAGGCTGTTGGGGGGGGGCTAGGGGCCCGGCTTGGAGCGCCCTGAACACGCACACATGCATCGATGGTGAACCCCCTCCCTGTCGAACCCTCGACCGTAGGAGCTCACCCGCGGGGGGTCCGCACCGGGGCCGTGCTTCGGATTGCTGGTGATCACACTCTTCAACAGCGTCCGCGCCTCCGGCCGTGCTGAGTATGAGAGGATGTGCCCCGTGCTTCATGGGAGATCGTGCCATCACGGCCAGCTGTGTTCACCGTCGGCCATCCATTGGAGATCCTCTATTGAATGGGACTCAAAAACGGTTCGAAGTTGACGCCGTTCACCACTTGCGATTCCCAGAGTTACATCCGAATCGTGAAATCCTGGAATTTTCTCCATCCCTGGATGTGCCGGCTCGGCTTTCTGACCTTCCCACGGCAAAAAGAGACGGTCTCCCAACTTCCCACCCTATGGCCTCATGGCCCATGTTTAAGGTCCCATCCATTGAGAATTTGAGAATGAGTTGTTAGCATGTGTCAACCTGGCAGGGGCTCCCTGCGACCTCCGGTCACGGCAGCAAATTGCAGCAGTTAGCATGACTTCGATGTTCCCATGGAGAAGTTCCCACTTGGACCATAGCACAGCCTTGGACCGTGGCACAAGGTAGCTGTTCTCTGAGTCTTAAAAGATGCCGCTGCACTCGTCGCGCCTTCTTAATGTCACTGATATCGGCATCAGACTGAACCTGCCAAAAGCCCCGCTTGCCATCCACGCCAACATCGTCCGATGTGTCAAAGTGAGGGCACCACAGGGATCTGAGCCTTATCAGTGAAAATAAAACCACGGTTCCATGGTCAGGATTAAAGCCACGAGCCTTGGGAAAGGCAGCGTGTGTTTCCTGCCTCTTTTCCGCTAGCAACACAGTTTTCAGGGGCAAAGGCGCAACGACTGTAGCAACAAATGTTGGCTTGATTGCTCATCCCAAAGCTCCCCAACGGTCTTCTCATTCTTCTGAACCGAGAGAAGCTCACCCCGAGCAATTTGTCCCCAAAGGGGTGATAGTGCCCGAGGTCTTTTCACGACAGTGCAAGACGTGTAGATTTGGAGTACACCTTTTCCTAGAACGGTGAATCTATAGCCTTAATACAATTCTGCTGCTATATATAGAAATTGAGTTGATTATACAATATATATATTTATATGTATAACTATATATGTTATGTATATATATGCACTGTCATATAAAGTCTCTACAGCCAAAACAGCCAACACAGAAACCCGCGCAGCTTGACTGATGTGATTGGCCTGCAAAGCGTTCAAGTCCGTCAAGTAGCCTTTGGGATCCATGACCTCGACCGAAGCGTCGCGATCGATTGACCCTGAGAGTCGAGTGAAGCGAACAGGGAGCTGACCAAGACATGGTCCTTTAATAAGGGACCTTCCCCCTGGCCCCAGGATCCAAAAGAAAGGATATCTACAGCAACCCACATGCAGATATCCACAGCAATGTTTCTGGACTGTGCTTTTTGTGCCTTCTCCTCCCAGGTGCTGCGCCATTGTCTGAGGCTCAGACCGTCTGGCCTGTAACACTGTCCATGATCCTGGAGAGCATCCAGGCAACGAATTGTTCAGCCAAGTCAAAGAGTTCACACATTCGAATAGCACTGCACAGCCTAATTGTAGCGCAAATAGCGCTACTGCTTCTCCCGTCAGTGGCTCCCGTCTGCACTCTCCCGTCATTGCCGCAGAACCGTCCTGTCCAACTTCACGGCGAGAACCGTCCCTCGAGCTTCGCCCAACTCGTTCAGGGAGCCGCCCACGCTGTGGGGCGTCATCGGCCTCGGAGCGTCGTGAAACGACCCGAGGCCGAAGACGCATGGCCTACATGGCTTATGCTTGCCATAGGTGCCAAATCTGGTGTAGTGTAATGAGGGAAGACGTTGGGATGAACAAACATAGGAAAACCTGATCAAAGCTGCTTGAAAGAATCCTTGGGACTATATTGGGATCAATCCCCTTAGCCTAAAGCTCCCCTTTTGAGAACAAAATCGAATGGTGCAGTGGTGTGCAGTGATTTCAGCCCGAGCTGAAGGTAAGGAACTTGCTTAGCCTATCGCTGCCGAGTTGGGAAACACTGCTCTCATTGTCTTTCGAAAGACATCCGATCTTTTGACTCATGCCACTTGCTAGTTTTGTGACCGAGACTTCGACATAATGAGTTGCCAAACCCCCCTTTTGGGCTGCGATGCTGAGGCTATGTGAGTCTATTCCGACTGGACGATGTTTGACACGTATTACTATAGCCGCTGATGAAGTGATCTGACAGAGTCCAGTCAGTCTATCTGAAGGTTTCAGATCCATCCTGCTCAAAGACCATCCATCCGCACGGGGAGTATGCCGAAAGCCCCAGTGACTCATCATCCAATTTGGACATACCGAGAAGTTCATGCACTGCTCAATGAAGAGGACATCTTATCTCTAGTATGAACACGATCTTGGCGCCCCGAACGTGTGTGGCGTACCGTAGCCAGGTGTCCGCATGCCTGTGATAAGAGCGCATGTCGCTTGAACGTAAACGACCATGGTCCATGGTACAGAAGTTTGACAGTTTTTTTACTGCCCAATTCTTGTCAGCGAAGGCAGGTCGTTGTTCCGTTGTGCCCTAAGGAGTCCTAAGGAGCTATGCTCAGGGTATGTCTTGAGTCTCCAGCCTGTGGGGTTCCCGTTGAGGGATCATTGCAGGATCGAAAGCAGTTCTTCCAACATGTCTCCGCTCAGCCCGAACTTTAGTGGCTCAGGAATCGATCTGTTTTGGAATGGGAGGAATGGGAGGAATGGGAGGAAGCTCAAACATCTCAAAATACCTGATGATTTTTCAATGATTTTCTGCTTGGTAGAGTGTGTCCAGCAAGCAACTCCCTCCTGTTTGCGTCTTTTTCCCTTTTCCCTTGCAAAAAGATCACACAATCATCATACAACCCAAGTACCCCATCTATCAATTTGCATGGCAACCGCTATGTTCACGCGGTTCACGAGGCGTTCGGAAAGAAGCAGCCTGGCGTTCGCATTCCGCCATGCGGTGTTCGAGCACCCATGGGGGTGGCCATCCCCATGGGCGTTGCCATGCCCATCGGCGTATGCATGCCCTCAGTGAGCAGTTCATCCACATTGCTGGTTGGTGAAGAAGGGACATTGATGGAGGAAATTGCAGGGTTTGACTTCTCCAAAGCAGGCATTTCCTGGATTCCATTCCTTTCCCTCGATCCAATGCTACAAGTTCATCATCGTATGCAACGTAGAGACCTGTGTGCAGTCTATGTGCAGGTCAAAACATAGGAACACATCGCAGTTACAGTATCCATTCCGCAGTACTTGGGTGTTTTCAGTGCATTTGACATACACCCATCTGAAACTGCCTTTTCCCTTTCCCTGTTTATGCGGCCATTCCAACATACCTGAAAACGTCTGGTTTCGCATCACTCCAGGCTCAGTGCCATTGGAGTTCGAGCCATGGGCGTGTGCGCCATCGGAGTTCCCCTTGGCGCCACGCTTATATCCCCGTGCTCTCCGGAGGAAAAGGGGACATCTGAGCACCCCAAGCTGCTGCTCGGCACGAGGGAAAGCGGGGGTCGGTCCGGGTCCAAAACCCCGAGGAAATCCGATGCATTCATGCATCTTGGCACGCCGAACAACGCTGGTCTTGGGAGTCATCCACTGAGTGGGGGGGTGAAAGAAGGGTGGATGCACTAAATCCTTTCCAGTGTCTTCTTCTGGGTGATCCTGAAAATTAACCATTGCCATGAACACTGCACGTCAACAAACAAACTATTTACAAACTTGCTAATGTTAAAGGATTTCATTGGACAATGAAACCATTGGCAATTTCCATTCTTCTTGTATGGATCTTGGCAAGGACGACATCCATCCGTACTGCAATTACTGATGTCAGCAACCGTTCAGTGCAAACAAAGCAGCCCGCAAATTTGTTCAACACCTCCGTAGGAATTGAAAAGCAGCTCACAATGTCAAGGTTGAGGAACAATCCAAAAAAACACTGCAGTGTTGGATCCAGATTGACCTGGGACTGTCTGTAGCTTAGTTTCTTGCCAAAGCTTGGATTGGAAAGAGAGAAACAGCTGCATTAAACAATCGACTTTCCAGGGATTTCAGGTTTCAGAAAGAGGCTTCTGGCATAGTCAAAATCAACAGAATTCGAAAGAACACCTGGCAACCAGCTTCATTGTCATCTTTTGTTATGTACCGACCACGTTCTTTTATGTGGGCGACTGGGGTGAACAACCAGGGTGCAGTACAGTTTCATCTAGTTGTGCCTTCGTAGGTGATTCATTACCAAACCAATGAAGCAGTTGTCTAGCAGAAATCATCTCAATTAATGACTGTTCGACTTGCACTGAGCTTGGCACATGCCCGACATAGGAGTGGCCATCCCCATGGGCGTGTGCATTCCCATGGGAGTGTGCATGCCTGCCACTGCCAGTACCGGAAGGTTGGAAAGGCGTAGATCCAATACCAAAACAGCTGGATCAAGGGGATTGGCCTCCCAGCATCTTGTCCGTCACAATCCTTCACCCCATAACAACTATATCAGAGGTTTATGGAGCTTTGTCCACAAGAAAACACTTGCCAATTGCCAAGGGGTTTTAACCAATCTTGCCTCAAGCACAAAAGCGATTTGGCCCAGAACAGGACGGCACCGATGGCTAGACCAACAATTCCAATAGGCATCGGACTCCAAAGCCTCCCCTATTCCAATAGGCCGGCGAGGCCCATTGGAGTGTTCATGCCCATGGGTGAGCGCAGGCCCATGGGTGTACGCAAGCCCATCGGAGTACGAAGACCTTGGAGGCTTGGTGGGGTCACGTGGAACTCGTGTTCGGTGCAAAGATCCAGGGAGTACTGAGTACACACCGAAAGGATCAGGTCTCCGGAGGAATGGCTGTATCTTTTATTACATGCAGCGTATTTCCTGGTTGACAGCGTGAGTGGATCCACCAAACCACAGCTACACAAGGATGTGGATGGTGAAGAACTTTACCAAGTTTGTCTTTCAGGCACCGTCATCGTCAATCCTTCTCGTTTCGGAAGGTGCTGGAGGCTTTGGGGTGCAAGCCCTTGATGTAATGGATCCCAACAAACAAGTCCAAGGGTACTTCCAAGGGTGCTCACCCTGAAATTCCATCAATTTCACCCAGGTCATCTTCAGCGAGCTCGAGCGTGCTTGGTTCGTCAGGGCCCCCAGGCCCATTGGGGAGCGCATGCCTGGCATTGAGGACGGAACGGATTTCAAGAACCTTGAAAACACAGAAGATTCATCATGCCTCAAGGGCATTCATATGCCCCACATAGGGTGAAGCCCGCACATTGAGGAATAAGGGCAAGGTCTCCAAGCGGAAGGAGCTTACAGTCAAGCATGCCACATAGCACACCTTGGGCCTGAAACCAGTGACGTCTCTCTCTCTCTCTCTGTGTCCATGGAGTCAAGGTGGCCCCGCCAAAGCCCAGAAGCGTCTAAGATCACTGTCTAGTAAACACTCTCACACACAAACCTGCAGGTCACCTTAGTCTACCAACTGCAGGAGCCACTTGCAATTGGTGCATGTCCAATCATTTCCGGGTGGTTTTCTGCCAGGTCATGCACGATGCTCGCATCACGCCTCCCATGGGCGTTCGCATGCCCATTGGAGTTCCAAAGCCTTGACGAGACGATCAAAAGCTGAGTCAGATTGTGGAAATCCAAACAGCAATGAAATGGAAAAGAAAAGAACACAGTCTAGTGGATGCGTCGATTGAACATAAACCAAATGACTACACGTAGACATAAGCCCCAAACATAGATGACAAGAAACAGGCTGAGACAACAATGTCTCGCGCATGGTCGTTTCTGGTAGGCAAACTATCAACTGAGTCCCTGAGAGAAAAGTGAAACGCCTGCAAGATCCTACGAAGGTCTTTTGCTGTGGTAAGTAAGCTCCAGCAAAGGATTTCTCGACTTCCCATTTTGACTGCTCTGGAGAAGTGCCTCGTGTAGAAAGCTGGGTGGTCCAGGAACACCTCATGATCTCATTGATTAGGATAGCAAAGCGTGGATTCATGCGTCACGCCACCGAAATGTATGATGTCAATTTGATTTCTCACAGAAAATGTATGGAAGCCAACTTTTCCTGGGTTTACTTTCTTCTGGGGGATCTAAAGCCATGGCATGCCCTCCAAATCGCCCCCCAAAGCTACTTGGCCTCCCATGGGGGTAGCAGAACCACCCATGGGTGTAGCGGAGCCGCCTCAAAAAGCAGGGGCTCTGCCGAACACTGCCGGGAGCTGAGCCAAACATTGGGCGAGGTCCCAAGAACTGCTAGTTTTGTCTTCTTACACACTTCACGTGGCTATTGGAACGTGCCAAGGGCTCTAGACTGTCTAGACTCTAGTTTCTTGTGGCAATCAAGATTGAATTTACTTCATATACAGAACAAGGCTTATCGCCTCGCTTTCTTTCCAAAGCCATCTACCAGCATTTAGCCTGGTCTTGATTCACCAAATAGGTGTCAGCAAAGTTTGGATATCAGAATAGTCTCTTGATAGAACATGGATGCAGGAGTGTTCAACTGTTTCATATTAATTTTACTCGTAAAACAATCTATGATATGATATATGTTATACAAATTGAACTGAGTAGTGTGTGAACAGTACACCAAGACCCACATCTACTCTTACGAGCCAGGTCAACAGGTGGCAAATGCTTGCCAACACCAGCTTGATGACGATCATTGTCAAACGACACTTCTGAGATTGGCCCTTCAGTAAAACCTTTGAGATACCTGGTGGTTCCATAACCCTGTGCAATCTGTTTGGATCTGTTCAGGTAAAGGACCTAAGCATGGAGACTGAACTTGGGCACTCTGTCTCTCAAACACACACCGTGCATCCGCAGGCCTTGGCCTTTAAGGACAGTGGTATACCTGCATCAATATTGTTCAGATCTTGGTTAGCAATGTCGGACATGAACCGATGATGCAGGGTTGGACACCAGGATTGGACAATCCAAAGCAAAACGACTGAGTTGGTGGAAACCAGTACAGGGGAATCCCGTTTCCCAAAAAGAATCTGCAATTTGAAACACACCTTATCTGTATGTGGAACAAATCGTGGAATGTTATAAGTGATTGTATACAAGTATGGCATCTCTTCCTTGATCTTCCTTGTTTGTTTAATCAACCTCAAGTAAACAAATTCCAACGACAGACCGTCGACTCCAGAAAACTGAGCTCTCCGACTCACACCGCGGCCGCTGGCCATGCCCGCCAGTAAGGCGTCCGGCGTGGGGCTGGCGCGCAGTGGTATAGCGTAGATTCGGAGATGAGGGATGGTCAAAATGAACTGCCCCAACAAAAATTACGATACGGACAGCAGGACTGTCAACCATCAACCACATAGGTTTAGCGTGTGATCCCTCATATCATATCTTTTGCTTTCACAGCAGTCTATTTGTTCCTTCTGTCATCTAAGTACTGGTTTCCACTGAAATGCTGTTGAAGCATTAACTTTATTTGCTTTGAGGACGGATGAAAGTGATCTGATGACTGGGCTACTTTAAGTTTGGCCAGTTTCAAGAAACATGCAACATGCACCCTCATTTGAGCTTCAATTAACCACAGCTTCGATCATGGCTCATCTTGGAATCCAAAAGTCGCATAAACACCTGTTGCATGCAATCGCTTTACATGTTGTCCTGATTGCGCAGACTTGTGCAAGATTGAATTACACCCATGACCATCCGGTCCGTATGCCCTCACGAAGCGAGCAGCTTGGAAAGTAACTGGATCCAACACCCAAAGTATGGCAAATGTTTGAAAGGAAGCACTATATAAAGAATTTGTACAAGTAATCCAAAGAAACAGTTTGCAGGTCTAATGCTGTTCTAGATTTTCTATTGACCCTAATTCTCTCTTGTTCCTTCTTGCTCCCCCCTCTGAGCACTGCAATCAAACGTCTCGTAGCAAAAGACCAACGCCAACTCGTGGCCGCAAAACGTGAAGTTGGAAGACTTCCTCTGCTTCACCTCGGACGATGGACGCTGTTACGAGCTTCCGGGAGTTGGACTCCTGGGGACCAACATGCAAAGAGTGTCGCCGGTTGGCTGATGCCAGTTGGCTGGGGGGGTCGCAGGATTGCCATAATTCAACACCAACATGTCAAACCAATTAGGGATCTCCCTAGGACGTCAGTCGTCAATGTTTCTTCGCATAACCGGACCTTGGGCGGATGTCTCTATTTGGAGAAAAGATTTCGGCATGAGTCATGAAGCTGGGCCGTTCAGGCAACTCTCAAGTCTCAAAAGTGATACTTACGGGTCTGTCTGCGGAGGTAAGCACGCGGATTTGGCAAACATACACCAAATCGTCATTGCAAGTGTTCGAAGCAAATGTATGCAAATGTACAGCAACAAACCAATTGGCAATGCAAATCGACCCTTGATAGTTGCCAAACAACCTGCTCGGCAAAAAAAACACATCATGCAGAAAACGGTTATCCGTTATCCGTGGTTATCCAACCTCAGCTCTTACAGCAAGGGCAGTCTGAAGTAACAGTACCACCGAAACGAGAACTCTTAAGGATCAATCCTACAAGCAGGATGCCAGGACTTCGGTTTGCGGGACAAGGCGAGATCCATGGAGGAAGCTTTTCAGGCCCAAAGAAATAACAATCCCTCCCATTTCACCAACATCTCTCCGCATGACGCTCGCGCCTTCAAGTGCTCCTGGGCCTCTGGGATGCCTTCCCACTCCTATCCGCGTGTACCACGAGTACGAAACGTCACCAGTACGAAACGGAGCTCCGGTTCAGCAAAGGAGACTCCGTCACGTCGCTGATTGGACCCGGCGGTCAACCGCATTAGACAGCTCCACGGTCCCACCGAATCCACGAGCCATGGAGCCGACCGAATCGTGGCCGAGGTGGTTTCGATTCGGCGAGGACCCTCGCTGCAAACGAAAAGAGTCCTCGGCAAAGCGACCCACGGACAGCCATGGACGAAAGGGGTTGCCCCATGCAGCTTCTGAACGAAACCACAATAGTAAACACAGCATCTATTGAAGATCAAACCGATGAAGAGCAACTTGTGGACATGCCTACCTGGTGCCGTGGGTCCAAACCCTGTGCCCTTCGTGAACACAAGTGTCTTGACTGACAAGCTCCGCAGTTGTGGCACAAGAACTCTGAATTGTTTAAAAGCACATCAAACCCCTCTGGCTGCTTGAATGTCTATGAGCGCCCTAGAAGCTTTATCGCTACAAATACCCTCTGGCTGTTTCTGCGCCAGGGCAAGATGCCCGTCCCACGGTCTTCGCATCCGCAGCTCGACCGTGCTTCCGCTCCTCGTTGCTCACGGTGGCCAGTTCGCGCCTCGTTGCCGGGGAAAGCACCACATGGTAATTCTGGGTCGAACTCCAGAGCGTTTCGTTTGGGCAAACAGTATTTTGATGGGACACATAATTGGAAGATATGTAGTGTTGGTGAAGACTTTGTGCAGCTGCCTTTTCTTTCATGTCACAAGTTTGAGTATTCATCCCATGCTTTACATCTTGTTTCCCATATTTGGATATGATTTGTCAAGGATCTTGTTGACTGTTCTTTATGAGTATTTTGTTTGCCATACACCTACCGCGGTGTAGCAATCCAACCCTGCCGCAAACAAGAAACTACAGGGCCCCTGCCTTACGCAATCTCAAGACTGAAGTATAGACTATATACGTTAAACAATTGAACAAGACAAAGGCCTGCCTAGACCTATATCGAACAATACTTTGTCCGTACTCATACTCGCTCATCAATTCCTTGACTTGACCTGCAAAGAAAGCAACTTGAACTGTTAAGCCGCTTATGTAGAAATCCCATGAAATTCCCCTCAAACGCCGTGATGCCAAGCATATCATCTGACACACTGATCACTTCTTCCGGTTGCACCTCTATCAATGCTACTGAGAAACATGGCCTGAAGTGAATCCACTCCACTCGTTGGTATTTTGAAGAACATGTGTCCATGGACAAAGACCATGTCGGAGAACTTGGGAGATTACAGCGGATAGTCCAGACTTCTACTTGCGAGCTCCAAACAACTCGAGTCTTGCTTGGCATTTGTACAGCTGGGATAGCACAAAAGCATTCCATGCCACTTTCAAGAGAGAGGGGCATTCTGATCAGATCGTGAAAAACAAGGTCGTGGGGATACCCTGGACCCCGGACCTTCAGACCACTACAATGTCAATGCAATCATATCATACGTGTTTATTTCCCGAATGCGTAGCGAAGGGTTCTCGTTTAACTCTTGGGGGTCTGGGGGTAGAGCCTTGTTCGCGATCCGTTGTTTCTACGTTCGCAACCGTCCGCAACCGTTCGCAACCGTCCGCAACCGTCCGCAACCGTCCGCAACCGTCCGCAACCGTTCGCAGTAGAGCGCTAAGGCGCTGCCATTGGGGGAAGCTTTTGCAAGTGACCATGCATGGATGTGTCACGTGTGAGTTTGCGACGCGAGTCCATTGTGATTTGCGTGAAAAGGACATGTCGCGCAAGAAGCGTGATGCATTTCGCTGCACAGGCGCAGCGTTTCGTGAGATCCGCAGTTTGCGACGCAGTTCCATTGGGATTAGCGTTTGGAGAGTCGTGTTTTTGGGGTGTTGGATGTGGCCGTGCCATTGGGATTTGCGTTTCAGGGTGTGGCATCGAAGCTCTGTTTTCGTGACAAGTCTCAGCTGAAATGCTGATTTTGGTGGATGGGAGTATGCTCAGAACGGGCCGAAATCATTCCAAACGTGTGGTGTGGTGCAAATTTTGTTGAAGCTCACATGAGATGATATTGTCACTTTTCGTGGCAGGCGCAGTACTTTGTGCGGCTTTTGAGGTGTGGAAGTGCGAATCTCGTGGCAGGTGCAGGGAATCGGGAGGTTGCGAGGTGTGACGGAGGTGACATTTCGCGGCAGGCGCAGTACTTTGTGCGGGTTAGACATGTGGATGCGGAAAGATTCGTGGCAGGCGCAGGGAATTGTGAGGTCGTGAGTTGTGGTAGAAGTGAATGTCGCTGTCACAGTGGGATTGGCGTGTGAACGGGTGTTGTTTGGAGGGGCTGGACTCGCGAAACTGCTTGGCAGGGCTGCGTGATGTGTGTG